TGCTGGTATTTTTCGATGATATTCTCGTTTACAACCCTTCTCTTGAGACTCACTTTCAGCATTTACGGATTGTTTTGACGATCCTTCGGGAGAATACTCTTTTTGTTAAGCAACCAAAGTGCAGCTTTCTCCAGCAAAAAGTAGAGTACCTTGGGCATATAATATCAGAAGGAGTGGCGGTAGACCCAACAAAAATTGAGGCAATGCAAGGCTGGCCGAAACCTACAAACGTGAAATTACTGCGCGGGTTCCTTGGACTAACGGGCTACTACCGAAAATTTGTTAAGGACTATGGGAAGGTCAATGCACCACTTACTTTCTTACTGGAAAAAAATGTCTTCCAATGGTTAAATAGAACCTCCGCTGCCTTCGACAAACTTAAGGCAACCATGACGACGACGCCGGTGCTAACACTACCAGATTTTAACCGACCCTTCATTATTGAGGCCGACGCATCTTGAGTCGGAATTGGAGCCATTCTCATGCAAGATGGTCGACCACTCACATACACTAGCAAGACATTATCTCCCTCCCATCAAAATAAGTCAACATATGATAAGGAGATGCTCGCCATTGTGCATGCAGCAATGAGGTGGAGACCCTACTTGATTGGTCGACGATTTCAAATTAAAACCGACCATAAAAGCCTCAAGTACTTTTTGGAGCGAAAGATATCATCCCCGGAGCAGCAAAAATGGGTAACAAAACTTCTTGGATTTGATTATGAAATAATTTACAAAAAGGAAAAAATGAATGTTCTTGCAGATGCGCTTTCGCAGCTACTCGAGCAAGCTGAAGTTTCAGTCATTTCACTTCCGACCAGCGACTTCCTTGAGGATATTAAGATGGAATGGCAGGAAGATTCAGAGACTAGTAAGATTATAAAAAAATTGGAGGAAGCACCAAGCCCTATGGCTCATTACAATTGGGACTCAAAAGAATTACACTATAATGGACGCATTGTGCTTATAATAAATTCTACTTGCACCTTCACAAGCAGATTTTGAACAAAGTTATTCCATATGCAGGGTACTAAATTGAAAAGGAGTACGGCATATCACCCACAAACCGATGGCCAGACGGAAGTTGTAAATAGGTGCTTAGAGACAACCCAAAGCCACCCACCAAATATGACTACCCAAGGAAAACTTCAGACTCAGCCAAGTGCCATTATTGATCGACGGATCGTGACTCGACGACGACGATCCACTACTGAATTGCTAATACAGTGGGCAAACCTACTAACAGAAGATGTCACTTGGGTGAACTATGATGACTTGAAGATCAAATTCCCAAAATTCATGAATCGTCAGCCTCGAGGACAAGGCTGATTTGAAGAGGGCGGGTCTGTTAGGACTCTAGCTAGGAGAGTCCTAATTGAGAGGGACATTCATGTAAAACCTACCTAAGCCGACCCCTATTAAAGAGGTGAAGAGGCCGGCTAGGGTTAGGAGGTTGTTTCTTAGAGATGAATTAGGAGTTGTAAAGGAATATGAGTCTTGAGTAGAAGTCATATTAGGAGTTGGTTAGAAGTAGGAGTCTTGAGTAGAAGTCCTATTAGGAGTTAGGGTTTATAAACCCTATAAATAGCCATGTATTCCTCCTCTTTTAATAAGCAATAGATGAATCTTTTTTGCAGCCTTTGAGCAGCAACTTGGAGGGAGGAACCCCTATAGAGTTCCAAGGAGGCCGATCCCCTAAAGAGATCAACCCCAAGTTTAGAATCTGCAAGGGTTCTAACATAGATCCTCTATTGTTGTTGCAAGTAGCTAACCAAAATGATTTAAGCATGAGATGGATAACTTGAAAATTCAAAATGATCTTGGCAGGGAGGAGCATCTAGCTCTTTAATTAACTTAAACTAAGGAGAAAATAACTTCAAAATTCAAAATGATTTCTGCAGGAAGGAGCATCTAGCTCTTTAATCACCACTTACACTAAGGATAAAAAAGTTGAAAATTCAAAATGATTTCAGCAAGAAGGAGCATCTAGCACTTTGATTGTAGCTTACACTAAGGAGAAAAGAAATTATAAGAATGAAAGATAGCAACTACCTTAGGATATGTTCATCCTCATGGAACAAAAAGCTACAAAGGTTGCTTCCCAAGCTTTTAGGTAGGATAGAAAAGAAGAACGAGGAAGCAGTTGATTTCTTTTGACTTAAGGGACTGACGAAAGTATTAAGGTTTCTGGTCTGTATTAGTGATATATACCACTATATGTTCACCGCACTGGCACCAAATGGCGTGCTGCATGGCATAAACCTGGTACACAAAACTAGAGAACATGAGTATTATATGCTAGCATAACAATTGCTGCGAGCATTGTAGTAGCATCGTGCCTATGAATGGTTGTAGCATAGCAAGTGGCAACTTAATCGTGGGTTTCAATATCAGTGAAGATACTGTACTCCTAAGAACAATGAAAATTCAGTAGAAATGGGAATGTAATTTAAGGAACAGAAGAGAAGTGAGTATATTCCGAACAACAACGATTGTTTTACCACTTAACTCGTTCAAAGGAAGGGAAAATAAAATTTTGTTTGCTTTAATTGGTCCAGAGACAATATGCATTTTATTTTTTTATTTATGATCTCACATGGTAGAAAGAGAAAGCAAAGAACAAATGCCAACCCTAGATGAGGCACCTATAATCTTAATACAAAAGAAGAACATATTAGAAGAGAATTTTGGAGGATGTAAAGAGAAGACAAATCATGATGTTTTCTAAACAACCCTCCCCACCCGACATGACTAGAGCAGCTCCCCTCTAGCAAAGCTAACATCATGTGTAGTTTAGCATTTGACCAGTGACTTGTATAGTGAAAAAAGAAGAGCTATAGCATTAAGCTTAAAGACCAATCTTCTCTATTGGAACTGATTTCATAGGTTACATGTAGAACAGGATTACAAATGAGAATAATTAAAATTTCTCAAGGTCAAGTTGCTACAGAGTTTCACTGATGAAGTAAAGATACATGCAATAAGTGCCCTGTGGTCATGTTCCTGAGTTATTCACATTCTAATCAAACCCAATTGCCCAAGGTTACTTCATCAACTATGATAATTAAGATCCTCTAATTGACCAGATGATCAGTTGATTCTTAACTATTCATAATCAGAAATATCAACACCTGGCTTGAGGTCAACATTCGAAAAAGATTAGCATCTTTCGTGGAATTTTTGTTGCAAAAGTTTGTATATTAAGTTAATAAAGAAAGAAACATGGACGCTAAGATGCAGTGCATGGATTTCATCTCCAAAATTATTAAGAATAAACAATTAAAATACTGACCAAATAGGAAAATTGATCAAAGAATCTACATATAAAGAAAATAACAAAGACTGCTGTAATCTCCAAGCAGAAAGATATAACTAAGGATGTGAGAATCACAGACCTGCCCTTTTGGATCTCCTTGCGCATGATCTCTATCTCAGCCATGACTGTGTCCGCCTGCTTGTGCTCCGCTCGAGCACTCGACAGTTGCCCTTTGAGCCCCTGCAGCTGCTCAACGAGCTCATGCCTCACGGCTCCCAGACTCTGGACATCGGATCGCACCTGCGCCAATTCGGCCCGCATCCCCTCTAACGCCCGCGCCTCCGCCTCCGCCTTGAGCGATCGCTCATAGACCTCGCGTACCTCGGCGTCCTTTGCAGCCTTGGTCTCGGCTGCCGAGGCGGCGGCGAGACGGAGTTCGTGCTTGGACGCACTGAGATCCTGCTTGAGCGCAACATGAGAAGCGGCGAGCTGCTGGTTGTCGACGAGGAGCACCTGGATCTGCCGGTGCTGAGCGGCGAGCCGGTCCTCGAGGGCGAGAATCGAGGAGGGGACTGGGGCGCGGCGGACTAGAAGGGGCTCATCGGCGGGGTGGATGGCAGCACGAGGCGGGGGGCGGCCAAGGAGTGAAGGCGGTGAGCCTCGGACCGGTAAGGCATGGGCGGGGCGGCCCCTTCCGGCCATGGAAAGATCGAGAGATTGGTCTTTCTTCAGGGTCTCGATAGGGCACAGACGGAGAGAGAGAGAGAGAGAGAGAGCGGGGGGCTGGGGTCGGGCGCGGTGGGGATTTGGTCGCGGTGGCGCCCTTGAACCCAACAGACATTGAAGGACATGATTCGATTCTTTTAAATTAACAACCCAACAGACATGGAAGGGCCTTGAACCCAATAGAGATTTCTGACGTCAACTTGCCGGCCTCATTTTTTTGATTATATAAATGATATTGCTTGAACGATGAATAATTTAAATAGGGAAAAAGCTGTTAAGAATTTGGAATATGATTATTATGTTCGGTTCGAATCGAAACAGAATCGACGGTTCACCCGTTTCAGACTAAAATAGAACCAATTCTAAGTGATTCGGTTTTGATTCTTAAGTTTGAAAAACTAAAACCGACGATTCAGAACCCAAATTGATAATTTCAATTCCGATTCTAATCGTCAATTTTATAAAATTAAAATGTTTTAAAAATAAATATATATTTTTATATTTTAAAATTTTTAATTAAAAAATAATATAAAATTTGGTGATTTGAATGGAACCAAAACTGTCAATTTTGAAATCGAATTCGTCAATTTCAAAACCGAAACTGTTGGGTCCTAAATCGTGTACAATAGCCTTTGGAGATGAATTTTCCTAGAAAAGACAAACTAAAATCTTATGTGGACAAATAGCACCTGACTTAAAAATATAAAATCGAAGATACAACTAGAAGAATCACACCAAAGCAAAGCCCTCATTTACTCGACCTAAAAGAAATTTACTATAAATAAATGTCTATAAACAAAACTACGTTTCTCTTATAATAGGAGAAATATACGAAATGAAAGATAAAAAATCGAGGAGGAACCAAATTAAAGAAAAAATATCCCTTCTTTATCGCTTTTTATCTTTCTCCCTCTATTTCTTTCTTCTCTTTTTATTTTCCCACACACGATGGCTTATTCATTATGTTGATTTACCGTATAATATCTTTCGTAGACACTAGATTTGTTGTAGAAACTGCCTGCACGCTGATAGGTTTTTATTTGAACTTTTCACAGATTTTAGTTAAAATAATAAAAAACTTTCAGATCATCGGTTATTTTTCCAGATATATATTTTATTATTTGATTCTTTGGGTTGTTAATTTAAAAGGACTCTAACGATTCAATCTCTCGGTCTTAATTCCATGTCGAGACTCATTAAAAGTCCTAGGCTTAGGTGTAGCCTTCTTGCTCTTCTACTTATCTTCACCCAGAAAACATGTGTCTAAATCCGTAAGACATTCTTTGTTTATAGTGTTTTTATTAGACATCAATATAAATTAGTGTTAAATCTCGAATTTTGATGATGATTTCAATTGTCATTTATTATCTAATCCATATGTTGAGATAAGTGTGCAAGATTAACTACGATATAAGTAAGACATGCAGCAGGAGTTATGCCGGAGTCAAGACTATGATCACGGTGGGAGTTCGAGAGTTCGACGGAAGTACGGATGGTCGTCGGAGGTTCTGCGGGAACAAATCCGAGAAGTCCAAGAGCTTGCCAAAAGAAACTCGTCGGAACTCGCTAAGTGGATCGTCGCAAGTCCAAGAGTTTGCCGAAAGTCCGTAGGAGCATCACCGAGGGTTCATCGGATGATCAACGGAAGCTCGCCGGAAGAAGCGATTGATGCACCGGAGCAAGTTGCAGTAAATGTCTTAAGAAAAATCGTAGTTAGCACGATGATTAAGTTAGAAATGGGAGGTGATCCCATTGACTTAATCTTGGGACAATTTGGCCCTTAATAGACCCAAATTGGGCCGAATGAATCAGCCCATTCGAACCCAGATTTCTTGGCCAATGGTGGCACCGCCTGGGTCGGCGGTGGCACCGCCCAGGGCTCAGTCTCCGAGCTCAGGCTAGGCGGTGCAACCGCCCTAGTCAGGCGGTGGCACCGCCTGAGCTCGGTCTCCGAGCTCTAGCAGGAGGTGCAACCGCCTCTGACAGGAGGTGGTATCGCCCAAAGGCTCAGTCTTCGAGCTTTGCCAGGCGGTGCAACCGCCTGAGTCAGGCGATGCAACCGCTAGACCCTGGAATTATGGAAATTGATAGTTTTGAGCTCGGAATTCAAACTGGGTTGGGGCCTATAAATACCCCACCCTTTCAGCAATGAAAGAGCACCCAAAAACCACCGAAATCCTGATCTTACTCTGTGATTTTTAGAGCTCAAAAGTGTTATATGAGTTAGAAGTTCTCCTCCCTCTTTTCTTCCAAGTTCTGATCTTTCAAGAGAGGAGAAAAAATTTTGTAAGGGTTGTCTCCTAAGCCCGTCAAAAGGAGTGAAACTATAAAAGGGTGGTTGGCCTTTGCCTATTGAAGGAAGGCCTCCAGTGGACGTCGATGACCTCGTCGGTGGAGGAAGCTAGAAGTGGATGTAGGTCAAGATTGACCGAACCACTCTAAAATTACGGTGCTCTCTGGTTTGCATTTGCTTTTAGCATATTATCTTTACTGCAAACCTCCTCAATAGCTTACTGCCTTCTGCGCATTTACGATCGTGTTTCAAAGTTCAGTATTTTCCAAATCGGTGTTTAGATGTAAATCAGTTTTATCGTACGAACATCATATTTCAGTTTACGCTTACATTCTAATTTCCATCATAACTGCAAACTGCCTTCATAGACTTGCTTGAATTGCATCCTGCTTGATCACAAGTTAAAGTGATTTACGAATCGGCTTTTCTACCAAAATCGCTCTTATCGTACGAACATAGTTTTAATCGTCGAAAGTTTTCCGCTGTACTAATTCACCCCCCTCTTAGTGCTCTTAATCCTAACAATTAGTATCAGAGCGGGGTTAACTCTCAAACGGATTAAAACCCAAGAGAGATGGCATACGTCGGAAACCAAGAGGGCCATTCTATTACACATCCACCTATGTTCAATGGGACGGACTACACCTATTGGAAGACCCGAATGAGGATCTTCCTTATTTCAATGGATTTTAAACTTTGGAATCTTGTCCAAAATGGATTTTCGAAGTCTTCTCTTCCAATGATCATTGGAATGAATTGGAGAAGAAGACTTTCGCTCTTAATGCAAAGGCTATGAATGCCTTATTTTGTGCGTTTGATAAAAATGAGTTTAATCGTGTTTCTGTTTGTGAAACCACGTTTGATATTTGGCATACACTCGAAGTGACTCACGAAGGCACAAGTAGAGTGAAAGAGTCAAAAATCAATCTTTTGATACACTCTTTCAAACTTTTCCGAATGAAACCGAGCGAGACTATTGGCGACATGTACACTTGTTTCACGGATGTCGTCAATGGTCTAAAAGGACTCGGCAAAAGTTTTTCAGATTTTGAGCTCGTAAATAAGATTCTAAGATCCCTTCCTAAGAGTTGGGACCCTAAAGTCACTGCTATTCAAGAGGCTAAAGATTTAAATAACTTCCCTCTTGAAGAACTAATCGGGTCATTAATGACCTATGAAATGACATGCAAGGCTCATGAATAGTAAGAAGACATCCTTCTAAAAAATAGGAAGGATATGGTACTTAGAACTTTAGATGACCACTTGAGAGAAAACTCAAGTGATGAGGACTGTGACGATGATTTGGCACTTCTAACAAGGAAATTCAAAAAATTCATTAAGAGAAACAAGTTTAAAAATGACACAAAAAATAAACTTAAACCCCAAAAAGGACCAAGTTATTTACTATGAGTGCAAAAAGTCGGGGCACTACAAAAGTAATTGTCCCCAAGCCAAGAAGAGAACATCAAAGAAGAAGGCGCTCAAAGCAATATAGGATGACTCGAGCACGTCCGAAGAAGAGGAGTCCAACACCGAGCAAGTTGCTCATTACGCCTTAATGGCCATCGAAGAGGAGGTAACAAATTTAATTGATGCAGATTTATCATTTGATGAGTTATTAAATGCCTTCCATGACTTATTTGATGAATGTAAGATTATTAGTAGAAAATATAAATTGCTAAAAAAGGAGCATGATAGTTTTACTTGAAATTTTGATAAGTTAAAAACTGAATATCATAATAGTTTAGGTTCTTATATAAAATGCCATGATCTAGAAACTATCCAAAAGGAAAACTTGCTACTTAAGGACACCTTGAAGAATTTGAGGTTGGTAGCAAGTCTTTGAACATGATCCTTACAAACAAGGGTCACGTTCCCAAAAGAAGTGGAATCGAATTTGTGAGACATCCTCACCAAAATCCAACCACCTTCATAAAAGGCCCCATCCTAAATGTTCAACACCAAAGCAAATGCAACTTTTGTTGCAAACATGGACACAAAACATATTATTGTCCATTCAAGAAAATTAGTCCGAACAAATTACTTTGGGTTCCTAAAGGAACCATGATAAACTCTATGCAACATGATAAACTCTATGCAACATGATAAACAATGTAGATTAGTTTTTGAGGCACCCAAAAGTAAATGGGTACCTAAAAATTATCCTTTCTTGTAGAGACATACACCATCACAAGCTAGGAGCAAGAGATGGTACCTTGATAGTGGATGCTCAAGGCATATGACCGGAGATCCATCTCAATTCTCTAAGCTCACTATCATAGACGAAGGCTATGTCACCTTCGGAGACAACAACAATGGTAAAATCATTGGCAAATGAACCATAGGTAACAAATCTAACTTCTTTATTGAAGATGTTTTGTTAGTTGATGGTTTAAAACATAACCTCTTGAGTATTAGTCAATTATGTGATAAATGATATATCGTCAAATTCGAATCTAATGCTTGCATCATTGAAAAACCATACAAAAACACATCTATGATTGCGTTAAAACAGAATTGTTAGG